GGCTCCATCCGTCTCCCCAACCTTTTCAATGCGAAACTTATTGAACAACATTTTTTCAACTTTTGCAATATTAATTTTTTATTAAATATGAAAAAGTTGACAATTAAATAAAATTTTAACAAAATTTTATTACAAAATTTATTAATTTTTCATATAATAATTTTCAACATTTTGTATAGCATTTTTCTAACTATTTTTTCAGTAAAAACTTTCTTAGTAAAGTTGGCTTCTAACCAAAGAAGCCCTTCATCAAATAATTTTAAAAAGATAGATGAGAAATAATATGATTTGCAAAAGAATAATTACTTTCTCTGTTTATTCTTAATAATTTTAATATAATTTTTTAACTTTTTAAACATGAATTTCAAATAAAAAAATTTAATATATTATATAAATGATAATTAAAAATTTTTTATAATCAACTAAAAATGCTACACAAGAACTTCATATGGGGTAAAAAAAGGCTTTTTAATTGTTCATATAAATATTAAATTTGTATTTAAAATTTATTTTTAAAAATTAAAAAGTCAAACTAAAAACTATTAAAAAAACAAAGGGAGTATATATATATTTTTTTTGAGAAACTAGATTTTCTAATAATCTGCAGAAAAAAAAGTGTAAAAGCTTGTGAAAAACTTTAAATATCATTTTAATAAATTAACACACAATGAGTATTCATTAAAAATATTTAAATAATTTTACAAGTATTGATACACATTTTTCTGGCAAGGTGACATAAAAACACTTTTCTGTTCTTTTCAAATTGGTATACAGTTACTAATTATGTGCTTATCATCAAATTTAGTTTTAACTTGTAAGAAAACATTATGCATAAATCAATTATGTTTTTTTTTTTTTTACCTTTATGAATTATTATTGATTGATTGAAGGTATTTGCAAACTAGATTAACAGATCCCTCCACGAAGGTGAAATCAACACCTTGTGAGGTTATATTAGAGCCAAACAAAATCAAAATATTAATAGTAACGAACTCAAGCTAAAAATTATGTACCTAACTCGAAAATAAACACATTTTCTAGGACTTATTTCAACAAGAAATTTACTAAATTCGAGTTTGGTTCAGGTTGGCTTATTACAGTTTTTAAGGCAAGCTCAAGCATATTTGATGCTAAACCTAAATTTTAAGAAAATGATAACCAAACATTTGCACAAAAATTGCGAAGAGTCTAAGCTATTGTTCTATTTTGACTGTAGCCTGTAGATGTATCGAAAATATGAAAGCAGAATGCCCTATCTAGTCTCTTGTTAGCTCATATAAGATTTGGTGAGGACTGAGGAGAGCTTCCTTGCACCTCCAACGCATGTTGGTAAACAGTGCAACACTACACGGGATTCCAACCATGCCCGCTCTTCGGGAACAGAAGGAACTGCAGGAAAGGTAGACAGCAAGATCCGAGCATCTTGTATTCCAAATGTTTACAATCCCAACAATGCTGGTGCAATTAAAAGAGATGCAGCTCACTCCAAGTTTCCAGAGAACAGAACGGAACATGACTCTGCTGGTGGACAACAAAAATTAAGAGGCAGCTCACAGATCCATTAAGTTGACAAAGAAAGCCTGTTCGAATGGTAACCAAATACATATATATATACAATCCCAGATCACAGCCCAGAACAAAGCAAATCCCCAAAGTACATGTCAGAACCACTATCATAACACTCTCATATTAGTTTTCGCTATCTCAACAGACAACGTAGACATGTACTTTGAAATTACTATCTAACTTGGGAAAGCAAATTACATCCACAAGCAATTTGTACACAAGCAATTTTCTACAAATGTCAGTAACTAGCGTAGAAGACATCCTAGCAATTTCATAATCATACACAAGTGTACAATCCTTCAATATTCACAAGGTCCCACTTGTCTAAATGAGTGTACAGTTGTTGGAACTTATTAACGGTGTCCTCCTGCAAAAGTACAAATACAATAATTCAGAAGTCGAACCTATATGTGGGGCATCTTCTATGAGGATGAGGCAGAACATGGTAAGAAGTTAAAGTAATGTAACAAAATATGAAAAAAATGGAAGGTACTGGCCAGAACATACCAATTGTGGTATGACTTTAAACCTGGGGAGGAGAGTCTGGCTCAGAACCGCATACTGATGTATACATAGATACTGTATCTTCCTTGGGTACGGCTACAAAGTTTAGTGGTGCTGTAGACAACCTTCTCATTTCCTTAAAATATCCATTTTGACGCCCAGAGTAAGACCGTGGAGTAAGTATCTCAGGTGTGGCTCCACCAACTGAGTTGCGACGAGGGGTGGGAGTCATAGATCCATTTCCATTTGCACGATATCCATTTGGTTTCCTAAAGCTGTTGCTTTTTCTTGGACTGGGTTTTGACCCATACATGGCTTCTCTCTCTGTCAGAAGCAGATCTTGAATCTTCTTTTGGTCCTGCAAAATGGGAAGTAAGAATGCAGTTATGCAGTGCATCACATTCGGAAGATGCATGATGTTCAATTTTGGGTAAGTTGAAAATGGTAATAAAAACATGCCAGCTGACAAGAAATTCATACATGCCACATTTAAAATCAAATTACCCTGTATCTTCTTTTATCCTCTTCTCTCTGTTTTCTTGTCAGTTTGTAGTCCTCCAAAATTGACACCAATCGCACCTGTCATAAATAATTTAGAAAATCTATGAGCATACATTAGATTTTGTGCTATCCAGCAAAAATAAGAACATGTCTATAAAGAATGGCCCAGGAAAAACATAGTCCAAAGAAATTTATGCTACAAAAGAACTACTGACCCCGTCATACATAAATAACATCTTTCTGTCTTCTTCCCAGGCCAGGGTTCGATTGATCAAATTGTCCACCATTGCTGCAAAAGACAACAATGTTAACCCTGAATGGTAGTTTCTTAGTCAAATAAAGAATCTCTTTTTTTTTTTTTTTGGGCATCTGATAAAGAATCATTAGGTAGGGTATATACCAGGAATTTTGGTCACAGTTATTCGAGCTCGCTCTGCACGTTTGAGGTTGATGTGTGCACCTCTCCCAGCATTGTAACGGTTATCATCCTGAAATCAAATAAAAACTTTGAGATCACAATGCATAAAAATAATGCGAAAAACTAGTGTCCATGTCCACATATTCAGTTTAATTTCAACAGACATGAAAGGAAGATGATTTTTCTGGAACATAGATCAATCCATGAGGTGAAGAAAACAACAGAATCAAGATCCATAGCCAGGAATGTGTGGGTACGAACAAAGTGACAGAAAAGGAAACAGCCTTCTCATAGATCAGCTAATTTAACATAAACTATTCCAACTTACTTGATTATAGTCTTCCAGCCAATTTTCCTCTTCACATGCAGAAAGCCATCGGTCTATCCTATCCATTATTTCTTTCCGGCTCATTGCTTCATCTTTAGCTTTTATGATCTGGGCTTCAATGTTTGATAGCAATTCTGAAGGGTCCACCAGTCCTGAATGCCCATCAGCATCCATCACCATCTATGTCACCAGTAAGCAGTTTCTAACATTTCCTAAAATTTTTCAAAAGAGATAACCATACCAGAATCAATCAACGCATTGGATTTCTCAGCAGCTGTGCTTGTATCGGGTTCAATATGAGTCATTTGGCAAATCTCCTCCAGCTCTGACCTCTTTTTCATGACAAGTTCTTTCATTCTGCTAGCTTTCAGTTTAGTCAGCCTCTCAACTTCTGCTGATGCCTGTCAGAAAAGAAACTTAAAGTCTAATAATTTTTATTTGAATAATTTACAGTAAAATTAAAAAAAAAAAAAAAGAAAAAAAGAAGAAGCTCTCAAACCTGTTCAATCATCTCTGTTGAAAGCACACCCTGTTCTGTAACTTCAGGTTCTGATAATCTAAGAATTGAAATGACCCTGGAAAAGGGAATCTTCTCTTCTTGAGATGAGTCCATCAAGTTCCAAAGTTCAAAAAGTGAGGCAACAATATTTTTCATCTGCATGTTAGAAGCAAGGTTTTACTTCAAATGGTAAAGGGAAAATCATTTCAAAGCTACAGCAAGATCTGCATACTTTTTGGATGCGAACTTTCCTTTCAGTTTTTAGCTTGAGAATAGCCCGCTCCAAACCTTCCAATGTGCCATCACTGATATTTGTTGACTGCTCCTGACCTGTCCTATGCAAGCTTGGATGCACATCACTTACAATCTGTGAAAAATCCAATCCAAGCACCCCACAAAGCAAATGTACCTCGTTTACATACTCCAAAACCTTGTGAAGGCGGGCCGACTGCATAGCATAAGGTAAGAGAGTGCTAAGAAATTATAAAAAATTAGAATGATTAACAAAAAGTGTTAAAAGTTGTTCAAACCATTACATAATCCAACAGCAGTCCATATAAGGGTGTGAAAATTTTGCAAAATAGTCCACACATGTAATTGAGATTTTCACTGGACATGTTAAAACTTATGTAACATGTGCTCTAGTGAGAAAATTAGATGACGCTTGGTGTCCATACAATTCAGTCTTTAACTGCATTAAGTTGTATTATCCAAAAAGACTGGCCTAAAAATACACATATTACAAATGCTGACTCAATACTTTAATTAGAAGATAATGATCTAAGCAGCATACCAAAACAGGAAGAAAAAAAAAGCTCCAAGCAAGGACTAATCATTAGCTTTAGAGTACAATACTTCTGCCAGGAACTGCAACCATCAGTTCACATCATGCAAGTCATACCTTCTCCTTTTGAAGAGTCTGAAGATGTGTTCGATATTCAGTAAGCCTCCTTAGTGACAAGTCTTGCTCTTCCAGAGTTAATGAGTTCATCATAGTACCACTGAGGTGGCTGTATCCAGAAATTTCGCCACTGATCTTTTCAATCTGCACCCTTATATCAGCAAATTGCTTCATTCTTTCCTCTTTCTTCATTCTCAGATCCTCTAGCAGTGGTGTGACAGATGCAAGTTTTTGTTTTAAAGATGTAGCTGTCTTTTCTGTCTGAAGCTGTATCTATACAATACGAACAAAACTTAAAAAGGGATAACAAAAAGAAACAAGATTTGATACTATTGTTGGTAAAATGACAAGGATTTTGTCTTACTGGTGATTGAATATTGAGTTCCCCAAGAGTGGCCATAAGTGTTGCAACTTCAGCTTCTTTGGCTGCAACAGACTGGTGGAGGCGTGCCTTGGCATTTGCAGCTTCTTCAACCTTCCTCCGGTAAACTTCTAAGCATTCCCTCTCCAATTCCGACAGCATACGGTCTTTATCAACTTCACTTTCACCAATATCATTCCATATTTGCTGCTTTCAGGAAAATAACAAAACCACTTAAAGAGTTGAAATCAATATTGACTTCCATTTGAAATTTTGAAAGCCAGAATACGCTAAAGACCATCTCCAATTAACATTGTATTACCAATCAAAAAATTAACAAACAAACTAAAACATCCAAACGGAGTTGGGATATCAGAAAACCTTTGGACAAGAGAATTCCCAAAAAGACAACCCTGCCATAAGCTCCAGCTTAATATCCCAGAAAGAGATCAAAATGTGAAAAGTGTTCCATAATTCCAAAAATCCACCAAAAATGAAATGCTTGTAGGAACATAGACGAGACAGCTAACATCAAGGAAAATGAAAAAACCATAGTAACCCCGACAAAGAAGCCAAAATGCCAAAACCCTCACAAACAGTCCGAGCTCTGACTACCTAAAACCCCTTAAAGAGATACTATTATTAAGAAAGGAAAAAGAAACTTCAAAAAAAATTAATAATAATAATAATAATAATAATAATAATAATAATAATAATAATAAACTATGTATGATTAGAACATCATCAAAATTAAGATAGATAATTACCATGCCATCTAAAATTCAATAAAATTCATTCAAATCCTTGCTACACAAAAGCCAAAAAGAAAGGAAGACTTCAAAAAACAGATTAGAGCACAGGAACCCCTCAACATACAAATAACATGAATATATACTTCTTTAATCTCCATAAAAGCATTCAAAAGAACCTAAAAGAGAACACAACCCAACCCCCCCCCCCACGCCCCCCCTAATTCATAGCTCTACAAGACCCATCATGAGACTTAATAGAAACAATCAATGCTTTATCCTTAACAAAGAATAAATGACAAGAAACGAACTTTTTCAAACTCCATCATTATTATAAAGGCTATTCCAACCAAGAACAATAAACCCACTAGGTCCCCTCTTGCAGAAAACTAGCAAATCCATACAAAAGAGAACAGAAATGGAAAAGAAGACGACCTCAAGTTCTCTAACCAAAGCACTGCAGCTAGAGCTCGTACGGACGCTGGTAGCTATAGGATTCCCAATCGCCAGCATTTCTACAGATCTCTACAGGCCACCTGTTCCTCTTCTTTAGGGTGAATTGAACCTAAAAATCCAAAGTCAAACTCTTTGGTTGTTTCCCCCAAGCTAGTGGTCAAAATAAAGAAGAAGGAGATGAAGAGGGAAATGAGCACATAATAATAGAGGAACCCAAGAACCCCAATTAGACATTGCTTGAAAACAACCTCAGCTTCCTCAGATCTGAACCTAACAACTTCTACCCAACAAATTCTTTAAACCATTTTCCTCCTTAAAAAATGCAAAAGAAAATGAAAACCCAGAAAAGGATCTGTCTTTGTAATCAACAGAAGCAAAGAGGCAGAAAATTTGGTTACTTTTTATTTATTTTTTTTTTTTTCAGGGTGGGGGATGGGGGATGGGGAGGAAGAGGAGGAGACAGATGACAATGATTGCTAATAAAGAAAAAAGATTAGCTCAAAAGGCAGAACTAACAGAACACCCAAAATCCAAAAAAAAAAAAAAAAGAGGAAAGAGCTGCTTTCAGCATCTAGGGTTTAGGTAGAAAGCAAAAAAAATGGATTAAAGGGAGCAGAGTACTGCAATGAGGAAAGAAATCTCCTTTTCTCTCTGCTCTCTTGGGTACTGAACTCAGTAAACGGTTCAGTTGGAAAAAGTACACTGAACAAAATTCCAAATTATTAGCCATATTTACTGAGGGAATAACTCTTTATAGCCCACTCTAAACCAAAAAAGACTCTTTATAGGCGTCTGTGAACCAAAAAAACTCTTTATAGGCCACTGAACTTTTATTTTTATCAATTTTGCCTCTAATTTTTGTTGATTTTTCTAACATAAGCTTTAGAGTACAATAAATGCACATTTTTTATATTAAGTAATTTATAATGAAAAACATAGAAATTAACTTTAATTTTATCAACAATAGCATGTGCAAGGTCTTTTTTTTTTTTTATCAACACATGTGAAAGGTTTTAATTGAATAATTAACAAAATTAAAGTTAATTTTTGTTTTTCTTTATGCAAATTCATGGCAAAAATGAGCATTTATTTTACTTTTAAACCAAATACCGAAAGTTTTATTAGTTAAGTGGGCATTAATTATACATATTTAATAAATTTTTATTCAAAAACGTAAAATAAAACATTATTTTTAATATCAATGCCTTGTGAATGATTTTAATTAGGTAATTAATTAATTTAAAATCAACTTCTATATTTTTTTATGCAAATTAATTATACAAAAGCGTTATTAATACATCATTGCATCTTTGGAAAACAAATTATAACAACTTTTATCAATGAAAAAGAGTTTTTACCATTCAAATTAACCCCCTCATCTCTAACAAGTAATACGTACATGTTATTGATGAAATTCTAATATTAGTGTAAGTGATTTATATATACCTTAATAATATATATTAAAAGTGTATTTATTATAATTTTTTATTATTAATTTGTATAAAAATTATAAAAAAATTATTTTTAATATTAATATCAGTAAAATAATTTAATTAAATAGTCAATAAAAATTAAGTTAACTTTTATTTTTTTAATAACTTAATGATAAAAAAATATAATAATTGCATCCATTAAAACATAGTTAAAAAATTCTTTTGAATAAAAAGCAAAGGTGGGTGTATTTTTTCCCAGCACCCAACAAGTCATCGATCACGCCTCCTATTTTTATTTTTTTAATCCCCTGGATTTGAATGGGCAAAATGTTTTGTATAGGAGCTTAACTAGATCTTTAAAAACTTTAAGGGCAAAACTGAAAAAGATGGGGTTGAGACTTGAGAGGCCAGCCAAGGCGTTATGTTATACCTTAAGTTAAAAGCTCTGTCGTCTGTTCTGCGTGGACCATGTATTTTATAATTTTGATGGAAGAAAAACCACTTCAATATTAATACTAAGACGCTCATCCCTCATTGATAGAAATTAATAGTAATAAAAAGATATGCATGACTTTTCTTCTGTTTTACCTTATTAACATATTTTTTTGTTTATTCTTTTTGAAACGAGACAAATGAGGCCGACAAGTAGAGCGGCGCTTGCGGAATTTTTGTCAAGGAGCGTGGGTTGTAGGATCAAATCAAAGGCAGCAAACCGATCGCACGGATAGGAGAGCGCGTGTAAAAAAGTTGTGGGTGGCTGGGTGGTGGGGTAAAGGTTCCCCAAATACGCTATTGCCTATTAAGGTGGGCAGTGCCAGTGGCAGTGACTCACGAAGCTGTTACGATGTTGAACCGGAACGTTGCATGATTGTGAGATTTTAACTCTCAAATCAATCCTTGTTTTTCAATAAAGTAGAATATGTGCCTGTATTCCTTCAAATTTTTTATTTCCTCCCCTTTCTTCCCATTTATTTCCCTCACGTTTATAGATTTTTTTTCTATATTAGAAGGTTTGTTATTGGGCAGTGCATCAATTTAAATATCTCACTTTAAACTTCTAACTTTAATTTTAAATTAATAACTATTAATAATTTTATTATTTAAAAAGAAAAACAAAATTATAACCTTTAATCATAAAATATATAAAATATAATATAAATTATAACTAAATTCCATCCATTGCAAGTTTGGAAAGCACTTTGGTGCATGATTGTGAGATTTTAACTCTCAAATCAATCATTGTTTTTCAATAAAGTAGAATATGTGCTTATCTTCCTTCAGTTTTTTTTGTTTCTCATTTCCTCCCCTCTCTTTCCATTTATTTCGCTCATGTCTTATTATTTGAAGAGGAAAACAAAAGTCACGAACTTTTAATAACAATTTTAAAATATTTGAAATATAATGTAAGTACTTCTAACTAAATTTCATTTATCATATAAATCATATTAAAAATGTTGACTCCAATCTCTTAAGCACATTTAGTAAAAGTTTTAATAAATTATGCTTGTTACCTTTACTTGTGAGTTACACTTGCATACTTGAAAGTGAGTTACACTTGCATACTTGAAAGTGAGTCTTACTAATTGTAAGTGGATAGTAATTAATAAAAATTAAAAAAATTAGTTAGGCTAAAAAATCCCGCTACCCATGTTTAAAAATAAAATGAGGAAGGAGAAACTAAAGTATAAGAATTTACAAGTAAAAAGGACGGGTTGTATGTATTGAGTGTACTTAAAGGAAAGTCGGATTTTGAAGAAGGTGGAGGCTATAAGGTAAGCAAAAGCGAGGTAAGAGGGAAAACGAAGCGTGGAGATATGGAGGCCTATCGAACGGCACTAGAAGGTTCAATTGCATTTTTCAATGGATGCATTAAGGCCAAAGATACTAATTAAAATCTATGCAATTAAGGTTTATTTATTTATTTTTATTACATATTACTATAGATAGATGGAACAAGAAAAAGATTGTTATATCATGTTCAAGAAACATCTCCTAGGTGAGGTTCGGAATTCAAATTTTGGTATTGATACTTATGATATTAATTTATTTAAGAGTTTTTCTATCTTGTATTTTTAAGACATAGGTGAAGAGTATAATAAATGTATTTTTTAATAATTAATTTCTATTGAAAGTGTAAATATTGACTTTGGTTTAATAAATTAACCAATTAATGTCATCCACATGTTAGTAATGTTAGAATATATGTTAGCTTTATAATTTGTTTATATGAATTAATTATAAAAGGTATATTTATTGTATTTTTAACTTGTATACTGTCACGCCCCAGAACCCAAATCCGGGGACGTGATAGACGCCGTACACTCGTGAGACGGGCCCCACAAGTGCACAAGGCTCGAAATTTATTCAAATCACAATCTAATACCACCAAAATCTAAAGATCAAATCTTTAAAATTTCTCCGATATCATAAATCTCCAAATACACTCTAGCTTACAAAATCACGATTTATTTCTAAAATCTATATCAATCTCGAAATGGCTAGCTTTCTAACTCGTCACTTCCCGTAGTTTCCCCGTCCTCAGTTTCATTTCCTGAAATGGTGGACAAAGAAAAACTATGAGATAAACTCAGTAAGTAAATATGGATTGCCCTTAATTAAACTTATAGCATGCCAACATGTGCAATCACGAAAAATGGATACAATACAGGAACGAAATAGACGTCTCCTTTATAGGTCACGGCCAGCGTCTAACACCCACTGGCAGGCACACTGTTTGCTGGTGTATAATCCCCACAAGCAGCAAGTAGGGTCACTGTTTGCTGGTGTATAACCCCCACAAGCAGGGTCACTATTTGCTGGTGTATAACCCCCACTAGCAGGGTCACTTAACGAACCAGTTCTATCAATAACATGTCGACATGTGCTAGCGTTTATAACCTCCCCCACTAGCAGGGTCACGAATAACATATCGACATGTGCCGACATGTGCTAGCGTTTATAAACTCCCCCACTAGCAGGGTCACTAATAACATGACCACATCGGAGACAAAACAGGCAAAAGTTAATAGGAAAATCACAATTCACAATCACTTTCAGATCATCAGGACAGTCACTTAAATTTCAAGTAGGCATGCTCAATTTAATGAAAAGCATAAAACATTTCACTTCAAATCAGTCATACTTGTGTAAAACGGGTTTAGTCCCACCACCACTTCAAAAACAAATCAAAACATGTTTTTAAAACAGTACGGGCATTACCATAAATTACTTACCTCACTCCGCAAAACCGAGCACTCAATTCATGTACTAAACTGACAGAACGATCAAGAACCTAATCAAAAATCCGAGAATCAATACCATACTATCACAAATTCACACTGAAATCATCATTAGGATCATTCCTAATCACAATGCTATTTCCATAAATCTCCACATGATCAAATATCTCCAAATTCGTTCTTATATCACAAACTAATCAGTTAAATCCCCGTTAATTGTTGACTCTCGGGGTGTGAACAGTGTTCTGTGAACAGTACCACGACGTGAACAGTAACTCTAACTTCCAAAAATGGGCCAAAACACTAGCTAATTCACGGGATTTTTCTCCAAAATCACCACAACTCAATTCAAGCTAATTTACACTTAAACCAAGCTTGAAAACATAACTTAATCTACCAAAATTTTCCCATTTCTCACGGCAGCACAGGGAGAGCATAACTTTGGCAAATCACAATTCACACACACGAGATTTTCACACAAAACATCACAGCAGCTAATTCAAGCTAAATTCTACTTAATCAAGCTTAAAACACATTTGAAATGCTACTAATGCTACCGGAATTCCTCCCCATTTCCGGCACAATTCGGACACACACAAGGCAGCAATTAAATGGCTAATTTAGGGCTTAAAGAAGTGGCCATCATACCAGAATTTTCCAACAAGAACCGGAGCTGCAGGGGGAAAGAGGCCGGCGGGAATTCTCTGCAGGGGACTCACGGCTCTACCAGAAATTGGAAGGGAATAAAGCAATTAAAGTAAACCCAACCTAAATCAAGGTTAAAGAGAGGGATTCATGGCTAGATCTTACCAGAAAAAGGCCCAAAATCTCCCACCCACATAGCAGCCGACGGACAAAGGAGAAGAGCAGAGCAGAACCGGGATTTTCTGGGTTGAGAGGGAAGATTCTAAGCCCCAAATCTTGTGATTCAACAAGAAAAGAAGAGGAAAATTCAAGCCTTTTGCCGAATTTCTCAAGAGGAGTGCGTCGGTGGCTGGGGGGGGCTTGTCAGGTGCAGGGGAGAAGAAAGAAGAGCAGATGCGCGGATAAGGAAGAAGAAAAAGAAAGAACAACCCAGCCATCCTTATCTTAATTTCCTTTCTTTTTTAAGTCCCTCAACTCTTAAAAATTTGACTATTAAGCCCCTCCATAATATTTTCCCTCAATTAAGTCCCTTATTTAATGCTAAAATATCCCCAAATTTTGGGGTATTACATATACTTAGAATGCAGATTAGATAAACTTTTTATTTAAATACATCAAACTATTGTAAGAGTACACTTTTTAGATTACCCAAGAAAACTTGATCTTTAAGTGTGTGAAAACTAACAAAATGAAAAATACTCTAACCTTCCAAACTAAAAAAAAAAGAGGTAATATTTTAGGAAAAAGATTAATATATTCTCTAATTTAACACATTTTTTAACATTCGTTGGATTTAACCATTAAAATATAACATAAATACAATTGATTCATAAATATTATATGTATAACTGTGTCTTTAATTTTGTCTACCTTTAATTTTAGATTAAGACATAATAATTTTTAATGAATGTGTTGAATCAGAGGACTTGCCAATTAGTGTCCAATATTTATATACTAAATGGGATTTTCTAACCTGTTCAAGTTAAAAGTTTCATTAATTAGGGTACATTTAATTAATTTTACACACATGTTCACGGCTAGATTCAATTAAAATAAAATATAATATTTGTCATCAAAATCTATAAAAATATATGAATCTTATATGAAAATTTGTAAAAAATTAATTATAAATATCATAATTAATGAAGTTTAACCTATACATTTAAAGCATAAGTTGGACAAACTCATGCTAAATTTAGCTATATATACAACATCGTAGTTTCAATTTTCAAAGATAAAGGTTGCCACTTTGCCATATTTTTTGCCATATTTTCTGTTAATTTCTTGCCTCTATTGAGAATAAATGATTAATTCAATAGGTTATGAAGTTTATACCCTGACTATCCATGAGGGTTCATGTTTAAGCCAATGTGGACCTACGTAGGAGTTCTTTTTAAGTGGTCTTGAGCATATTGGGATTAGGGATGGCAATAAGGGGCCTCACGGTTTTGGGGAGGACTTTCTACTTCTGTTTTAACCTTCGGATGCATCAGGCATATGTTGAGGTACAACCTTAAGATTGTCTGAAAAAAGATTAGTTTCAAAATGCATAAACTTGATTGAAGGACATCCTAACCATCTAAACCCAACAAGAAACAAAAAGTCTAACAAATTGGGAAATCATCCTAGCATCAACCCCCAAGGAGCTAGAGTTGACTCTTCGCTACTAGTAACAACTACATGCTTTTTTGAATGTTAGCGAACTACAATGCATTTATAGTGCATTTGGGATGCAGATAAACAGTGAAATGGGAAAAAAAAAATCTATCTCATCCCATTGTAACTCATGTTTGGGGATGTCAACAGATGAGAATTTTTATCCCGTCTTTTGTCTTAACCCAAGGGTTCATTTGGAGTCTTGGACGTAAAGTGGGATGGGACAAAAAATGTCTCCTATCCTTATGTGTCCCACATTTGGTGCACTAATTGGGAGGGATATTGTTCATCCCATCTTGTATCCCATCCTTTCCCTAATGAAGAAAATTTATCCCACCTTACCTATAAGATTCGTTGGGATTAAATTTTTTTTTTCTATTTTTACCCCTTTCCTCTACTCAACCCTTTCTTTCCCACTTCCCAGATTTTCATGCCAACTTCGTTGAACCACCCATCTCCTCTATCAATGATTAGAACCATCTCTTTGCTCGTGCTTTGTTTTCTTCCTTTTCCCCTCTCTTTCTACCCTCTTATTTCCTCGATTTCCATTTGGTCTAAAGATTCAAGCCTCAATAGTAAGAAACTGACTCCAATTTTGCCCACGTGGTTGTCAATGAGTGTTAAGTGGTTTTCCAACATTTGTGCTCTCATCAATTATTGACTCTCTTGCAAATCTGAAGCTAGCAAATCAGGTTCCGTTGAAGCTAGCAAATCAAGTTCCGTTGAAGCAAATTGAGATTTTATTTTTTCTAGATTTAATTGAGATGTGATCTTGTAATGAAATTCATAAGTTTATAGAAAATTTGTTGAAATTTG